GTCCATCATCAGTCAAAGAGGAGAGACATGAAAATCAAAAGCACTTTTAATATATCATTTCAAATACATTTTGTTTGTTTCGTCTTGAAGAATTTCCATTGTTTCTTGAATTTTATTGGTTGTTGCCTTCACTTTGCTTACTCCATGATGCAGCTTTTTGAAGAAGGGTCGGTTGATGAAGTTGTGTGATGGTGACTGTACTATTAAAAAAAACAGAAATAGGCAACCACGTCTCCTTCTCGAGCATTTTACTGGGAGTAATTGTTTAAGTTCTCGGGCGGAGGGAACCTGCATGTCTCTGTGGCTGCTACTGGCACATATAATTCTGAACACACGCACTACTTACCACTGTTACACCCAGCAGTGAAGACTTGGTGACACACTGGATTAGTGGGGTAATTACATCACGGTTGCACATCTTGCATTTTAAGAAACACGGTGACATAACTGCGAGCACAAAGCAGGTGATGGGGGACATCAGTGAGCTCGGCGCCAGCCCGTGGGCGCATTCATGTTTTATATTCCTTTCCCAGCCACTAAAGGAAAGCCTGCACACCACACAGAGTCACATCTACCCGGTGTATACCTCCTACGGTTTAATCAAGGTGCTGCCTTGATAAGGAGTGCATGGCTCAGTATTGATGTGGGCGTCGTTTTTTGGCACAAAAAGGGTTAGACCCCGCTGCAAAGCTGCTGTGATATGCGTGATCAATCTGGAAAATGTATTTTACAGCATGTAAGCCAGTCAATAGGAACACACCGAGTGTGATGTATTGTGTGGGAATAGGAGGGAGGGAAGGAGAAGGGGAGACAGAGGGGAGGTAAAGAGACTATAAGGAGGGGAGTGCAGACACAATTGTGAAGAGAGACGTGTGTCTGTGTGTCTGTGTGTAAGAGAAAGAGATGTAGTCTTGGTTTGTCTCAGACTGTAATGAGTCCATCGATAAGTCCTCAGTGTGTTAGATGAGCTGCATGCAGTTCTATCCTTGAATTAGTCCGTGTCCCTCTCTGCGTGTGTGTTTCTGTCTCCATACACATTATAAATGACACACAGAAGCCCATTACAGAACCCTCGATGTTTTTACACCTAGAATGACCGAAATGTGATAAACTGGAAGGCGTTATATGGAGGTGAAGAAAAAAAAGGCGGGGGGTGTTTAATACATTTGCCTGTAGTCCTTAGTCCTATCCTCCTCCTCCTCCTCCTCATCATGATCATCACCGTCAGACGTGTTGCTTGTGTAGTCCATATTATTGCCCACATCATCTGCTGACTGGCAGTGGTGACGGACAGCTAGGAGGACATGCAACACATGCAGGTTGTGATGCCTGAATTTCATAACGCCATATTTGTTATCTGTCTTATAAAACGTGGGGGGAAGGGTATGTCTGCCTGTAGTGGCTTATTTGTTTTGCATTGGCCGTCCCGCTCTTGTTCAAGGGCTACAGAATATATTAAGGTATTCATTAGTTCCCATTCGTGCTGGAATGATGCTATAGATTTGCGTTAAGTTGTCCTTAGATGCTCTCACGCACGCACACAAGAGCGCAGTGTTTTTCTTTTTCTCCCAAATGATTAATGTCTGTTCAGGCATATTGCACCTTTTAACTCCCTGTCGACCAGCCCGTAGCGCTGGGTCAGTTGTCAGGCGTCTTGCTGTAGCTCAGTACACAAACATCAATGTGATATTTCTTCAGGTTGTCTTCGATATTATAAAGAAAATCATCCCACAGGTCAGGTGGAGAGAAACAATCTGCAGGATATAAATCAGATAATTTATGCTGTATTTGTTTAATTTACACAAAACATATAATTATATGTTCGTTAAAATATGAACACAGATTAACACCAAACTTTAAACACAGGCTTGGAGGATGTGATACATTAAAACATTGGGATTATTCTGAGTCTCGGTGTTTAACAGTATTCCAAAAGATCATTCCCTGCACAGCCTGTAAGAGATATTGAAAAGTAAAAGTGGCGTCATCCGAACTATGACAATTAGTTATTTTTTTTTAGATTTGAAAAGATGTGGATTTGAATTGTTTGCAGAGTTATTAAACGCAGCTTTCAGTCGGTTGTCCCCACATAATGTATTCTGAGTCCCTCCAGAGCAACAACCTTTTATCCTCTTGCTAAGAGCATTCTGTTATACAATTGTTACTCTACAGGCTATATAAAGCAATGATTCAAAAACAGATGTGTTCCATCAGAAACTCAGGCATGTGTTCCTAATTAGGCGACACTGGCAAAATGCACAAGGACTCTAGGAAACGTATTATATTTTTAATTATTATTATTTGATAACACAAACTCTGAATTTAATATTTTTAATAATAACCTTTACACTTTACACTTATTTTCCAAACACAAAAAGAGTATATGGACTTTTATAAAGGTAAAATAAAAAGTTGAGTAAAAATGTAAAAAAAAAAAAACAAAAAAAAAAAAAACCGCAAATACAGGTCGGGCTGTGGCTGCGGTGGGTAAATGGAGATGGATATGTGGCACACTACAGGCCCCATTTGTGTCTGTAATTTCGGAAACTGCGTTCACCAAAGTGTTACTGCGAAATGAGTTAAATAACCATTTACCTTTGTCTGGTTTCATTCATCAAACCACAAGTGGAGGACTCCTAACACGGGGGGCTATTTGTTTGCTTTACACAAGCAGCTGGGTGCGATTTCACGTTTGAGATATCTGTCTGAAAGCGAAACATTTATTATCCTACGTTGTCAGCGAACCTATTTCTCCAAAAAAGAAAGCCTCGGTGCAAACCACCGACTTTACGCAGCAGTAGAAATGTCCTATTGGCGTTACACGTCACTTCATTTCACTTATGGAGCACAGCCCGGTTTTTCCCCAGTACACGTTTGACAAATAGTGGTGTTTGAGACAAAAACAATTTCCAAATAGCGGCCCCATGCCTGTATGACTGGGGAGGGGGGTTTGGGGGTAAAATATGAAACCGATGACAACAACTGTGGGCATCCACCAAAAACCTCGTCACCCAGTCGTAAAATGGCTGCTGTTGTTTTTTAAATGTATTTATTAATTATGTATTTTTACTGGGAGGACACATGTCCAAAAATTAAATGGATTCCCGGGAGATGTTGGCCTTATATCAGCAAACAGCAGCGGGTTTTCTTGTTGTATCGACAGTACACAGTCAATGAAGAGTGGCGTATCTTATAATTACAGTGTGCTGGTGTGAGATCTGTCCCTGGACCTTATGGGCAACCTTAAAGCCATGGATCAAATCCAACACTGTGGTGTAAAGAAAGAAAAAAAAAGTGAACGTAACATAAGGGAATACCTCCTGGGGGCGTGTCTTTAAACGTATGTGTTTATAACAAGTGTGGCAGTGGTCAGGGATTCTCTAGTGTGTGTGTGTGTGTACGTGTGCGGGCGCGTACTTTTGCACCGCCGTGCGTAAAAGCGCGTGTGTGCGCGCGCGCAAGTGGCCGAGTGAGCGTGGATGAGAGAGCGAGAGGTGGTGATGGTGCTGGTGAGAAAGCCGTGGATTGCTGTGTAAGCGGATCCCTTTGTGTTGATTTAGGAAGACGTCTGCTGTATATAACGTTCAAGGCTGATAATATCATTGCCTGGCCAGATAAATAAAGCATTGGCCAAAACCATCGGGTCAGCTATCGATCCGATTTTTTTCCCCGAGAGAGGGAGGAGGGAAAGGGAGAGAGAGAGACAGAGAGAGAAACAGAGGAGGGGGATGTGGATGGGAGGAGAGAGGGAGAGAGACCTCACTCATTAGCATTCCACAGCCATGGACTAAACGCTGACAACTAACAGAGATATCCAGCTCTACACCACTGCTTGTATTTTCCCCTTTTGTCTTCTTCCTCATGGTCCTTCATTTCCAGCGGACAGATCTCTCGTCACAGCCAACACATTTTTATTTATGCCTTCTCCACACACCCCCCCCCCCTTTTTTTTCCTTTCCTGTGCACGGACGGACCCCGAGCACTAGCACAGAGAGAGCGAGAGAGGAAGAGAGAGAGGGAGAAAAAGCTTCCAGTAAAGCGAAGAAAATGAGAAAAAACAGCAAAAAGGAGGAGGGAGGTTGACGTTGTAAAAGCTGTGCAGAAGTGACAGCGCTAAGCATACGGGCTTTACTTGGGAGAGAGATATACCAATCTCTTGTGTGACTTGACAAAATAGGAACAGGATGGCAATGCACATTTTTAATTTAACTGTTTTAATTTAGACAATTAAGGAGAAGAAAATAAAGATGAACCCAGTGTGTTTTATTTTCAATAACACTCTCTCTCTGTTGAGTTTAGTTTCCCAAAATGGTGCTTTTTTTTATAAATGTTACATCCAGTTTTTTAAACGTATTATTTCACAAAACGAATCCTACAAAAAAAAAGCGTGCACAATAACTTTAGCAAAAAAGCCAAGAAAATAAAGAAACTCTCCCAAAAGGAAAGTGAAACTTTTTGCAGCCATAATTTAAACCAGTTTTATCTGTATTTTTTTTAAATATATTCCCCTGCGTTTGTTTGGCTGAATTGAGACTTCTACTGACATTTCTTGGTCAACCTTTCCCTTTTTTACACGACTATATCTTAATATTCGCTCAAGTCTTGCCCAACAATGACAGCTGTTCGTCTGATAGTAACTTCTCTCCAAGTTTCCCTCCCTCCCACCACCGGGGCCCCCAGTCTCTGTCTTGCTTTGTTGTTTTAAAATATGCATGTCTCTCCGGAATGCCAGTCACGGGTCCAAACTTTGTGTGTGTGTCTCTCTGTCTGTGTGTGTGTGTGTCCCAACCTCCCACATGATGAAATGATCCTTTTA